GTAGTGGAGAGTTTCAGTCTTGGTCAATAGGTGCCCAGAGTGCAGTCAAACAGGTGATGTAAGGGTGAGTCCATCCAGCCTCCCCTCCAAAAGGAAAATACTTAGATACTTTGGGATAATATATTTGCTTCCAAATGGGCACATATGTCTTTGAATAGCTTTTCTCACTTGCATTACCAGCCCCTCACTTGCTATGACTTTTCAGGATTTTTTTTTCTGTAATGCTCTTTCAGTTGTAGTATTAACCTTTTAGACCCTTATGACCTTAAATTTAGTACCAGTACTTTCAAAACTTTACTTTTACATTACCTGGATCAAAATCTGCTCTTCTCTACACAAGTACACCTTCCACTGGCTTTAGCGAGATTTACATAGCAAGATAGGAAGTATGGCAAAAGACCACCCTGGCTTAACCAGGAGGTTTTCAATGATTTGAAACTCAAAAAAGAGTCCTACAAAAAAGTGGAGACTAGGTCAAATTACAGAAGATGAATATAGACAAATACAAGTATGTAGGGACAAAATTAGAAAGGCCAAGGCACAAAACGAGGGATTAAACTAGCTAGAGACAGAAAGGGTAACAAGAAAACATTCTACAAATACATTAGAAGCAAGAGGAAGACCAAGGACAGGGTACATCTGTTATTCAATAAGTGGGGGGGGGGGAAACAATAACAGAAAATGTGGAAATGGCAGAAGTGCTAAATAACTTTTTTGTTTCAGTTTTCACCAAAAAGGTTAGTAGCGATTGGACATCTAACATAGTGAATGGCAGTGAAAATGAGGTAGGATCAGAGTCTAAAATAGGGAAAGAAAAAGTTAAAAATTACTTAGACAAGTTACATGCCTTCAAGTCACCAGGGCCTGATGAGATACATCCAAGAATACTCAAGGAGCTGACTGGGGAGATATCTGAACCATTAGTGATTATCTTTGGAAGACAGGAGAGATTCCAGAGGACTGGAAAAGGGCAAATATAGTGCCCATCTATAAAAAGGGAAATAAGGACAACCCAGGGGAATTACAGACCAGTCAGCTTAACTTCAGTTTCCGGACAGATAATGGAGCAAATAATTAAGCAATCAATTTACAAACACCTAGAAGATGATAAGGTGATAAGTAACAGTCAACATGGATTTGTCAAGAACAAATTATGTGAAACCAACCTAATAGCTTTCTTTGACAGGTTAACAAGCCTTGCGGAAAGTGCGGGAAGCAGTAGATATAGTATATCTTGACTTTAGTAAGGCTTTTGCTACTATCTCACATGGCCTTCTCATAAACAAATGAGGGAAATACAACCTAGATGGAGCTACTATAAGATATGTGCATAAACGTTTGGAAAATCATTCCTAGAGAATAGTTAGCAGTGGTTCACAGTCAAGCTGGAAGGGCACATCAAGTGGGGTCCCGCAGGGATCGATTCTGGTTCTATCCAATATCTTCATCAATGATTTAGATAATGGCATAGAGAGTACACTTACAAAGTTTGTCGACAATGCCAAGCTGGGAGGGGTTGCAAGTGCTTTGGAGGCTATGTTTAAAATTCAAAATGATCTGGACAAATTGGAGAAATGGTCTGAAGTAAATAGGATGAAATTCAATAAGGACAAATGCAAAGTACTTCACTTAGGAAGGAACAATCAGTTTCACGCATACAAAATGGGAAATGACTGCCTAGAAAGGAGTATGGGATCTAGGGGTCATAGTGGATCACAAGCTAAATATGAGTGAACAGTGTAACACTGTTGGGGAAAAAAAAGGAAACATCATTCTCTGATGTAGTAGCAGGAGTGTTGTAAGCAAGACACAAGAAGTAATTCTTCCGCTCTACTCTGCACTGATTAGGCCTCAACTGGAGTATTGTGTCCAGTTCTGGGTGCCACATTTCAGGAAAGATGTGGACAAATTTGAGAAAATCCAGAGAAGAGCAACAAAAATAATTAAATATCTAGAAAATATGACCTATGAGGCAAGATTGCAAAAAAATGGGTTTGTTTATTCTGGAGAAGAGAAGACTGAGAGGGGACATAACAGTTTTCAAGTGCATGAAAGGTTGTTACAAGGAGGAGGGTGAAAAATTGTTCTCCTTAACCTCTGAGGACAGCACAAGAAGCAATGGGCTTAAATTGCAGCAAGGGCGGTTTAGGTTGGACATTAGGGAAAACTTCCTAACTGTCAGGTTAAGCACTGGAATTAGTTTCCCAGGGAGGTTGTAGAATATCCATCGTTGGAGATTTTTAAGAGCAGGTTAGACAAACACCTGTCAGGGATGGTCTAGATTGTACTTAGTCCTGCCATGAGTGCATGGGACTGGACTAGATGACCTCTCAAGGTCCCTTCCTGTCCTATGATCATTCTGTGATCTACATCTTTGTGGTAGAGAAGAGAATTTCCTTATTTTACTTGTTTCTTGTAGCTGAGCTGGAACTTGAAGCTGAAGTCATGTTCATGCATTTTTGAGTATTCCTGTGACTTTTAAAGGAAGAAATGTTTCAGCTGGAATTGGGGGAGGAGGGCATGTGTATGTATGTGTATATGTATAACCTATTTGCTTGATTAAAAAATCAATAAATAAACTGATATCTAAAAAGGTGCTTTAAATTTAGTTGCATCTCTGAATATTTGCATGTGTGTTCCACTTTCTTTGAGACCAGGCTCTAATTAGCTGTCTTCTGAAAGCGGATACTGTACAGCAAACTGCTGATTGTAATTCTCAAATAATATGATCTATTATATTCAATTATGCCACTGAAGAGTTGTAGGATGGCTCTGATGCATGATAGCTCCAGATCCGCACTACACAATAATTTCTTCTTAAGAAAAGCCCTTGGTTTTCCTCTTGTTTTGTATGCTAGTTTCTCCTGTATTGCGAAGGAACTCGTTTTACAGAAACCAAGCATCGTATCAGCATGGAGGTGGCTGAATCCAAAGGGTTGCCTAAATTGAAATATCATCTGTTGCCCAGAACCAAAGGTTTCACCACTGCTGTCCAGTGTCTCAGGGGAACAGGTATGGGTGAGCTGTTTGTTCTAAACCTTACTAGCAATGTGTGTTATTATGTATCATAGTTCAGTATATTCATTGCACATGGTGAGTAGGTGATAATACAGACTCAGTATGGCCCTTGGATGACATCAAGATTAAGCTGAAGCACTAGACTCCATTTTCTAAACAATCTTTAAAATGTATTAATTTGTTCTAGTTTTAATTTGCAAAAATTAATACTTTCCATCTTTAAAGTGGCAATATACAAACACTGCATAATTAATCAGCTCTCACTCCACTCCTGTGAGGTGTATGCATGTACTCTGCCAGAGCTTAGATCGTTAAGGAGGACATCTGGGTAAATAAAACCGATGGGTTTTGAAATGTTTTGCCAACTGGGCTTATTAAAGCAATGTTTGCATCAGGGTTTGTTTCTTTCTAAAGCTTGAACAGCAGCAACCTCGATGCTTTGGATGCTGAGGTTAACAGCTATATTATCTTTCTTTTGACAGTTTCAGCAGTGTACGATGTAACGCTAAACTTCAGAGGAAACAAGAACCCATCTTTATTAGGAATCCTTTATGGAAAGAAATATGAAGCAGATATGTGTGTAAGGTGAGCATATAATGATGGAAGTGAGACGTACAAGGTTTGTGTTTGGATGCTGTGTCCCCAAAACTGGTAGGAAAATGTCATGCGTCACTGCATCCCTTGAGGACGTTCCTTTGCAAGCCCCGAGGATCTTCCCATTTCCCTATCATTCAAACTAGTCTCACTTACAAGAGCCCATGTCACGGACATCATCTGTCAGGCCAGAAGGAGACTAGGTGGAACTTTCAAGAGTGGGCATGACTACGCCTATAACCCGGCATTCACCTGCACCCTCCAGAATCAGGAAAATGAAACTAATCATGCCCTCTATGCAATTTGGTGTTAAACTTCTGCCCAAAATGAGCAGTCTCTCATAATGGATTGTGTAGATCTGCATAGTATAATCATTCCTCTCTTTTCTTCCATGACTTTGATTAGTACTGAATTCACAATGTTAATCTTGAATGAATCCACACCGAAAAATTGTAAGACAAAAACACCCTATCAACACTTTTCACAAAAGGATCACGCCTTTTGGACATGATCCTATATCCTTAGTCCTGGTCCTCAAGGAAATCTGCACATCACCTTCAAAGGATGAGCCTGGGAACTTAAATTCGTAACTCTGCTAGACACTAAAAACCATGGATGCAATAGACATGTTGGTTATTTTATGGCCCATTACAACAATTTGTAACACATCCTGCTGCCTACTAATCCTCCATTGTCCTACGACTGCAGACTTACTGATTGCCCACTTCATTTTAAGTAGTCTCCTACAAGATGGTGAACCCCTTACACTTAACAATCTGTCCCTCTTTGTATTTAGCTTAGACTCTCTAGTTTCCTTGTCCAGACCCAAAGAAGAGCTTGTCCCTTCCAACAACAGAAGTTGGCTCAATTAAAGATATTGCCTCACCCACCTTGTCTTTCTCATATCCTGGGACCAATGGCTACAACAACACTGCAAATATTTTAAATATTAACATTGTTAATTGTCATCATTAGCATCTGAGTTAGCACCCATTGAAATAAATCAAGTCAGTCAGTTCTCACAACTATTGTTTCAGGCCCTCTGCTAACTTGACAGGTGTCTCTGTGTCTGTTACCTTCAGCTTTGAAGGTTTTCTTCGCAGCTGAAACAATTTAAGACTGCCTTTTATTTAAAAAACTGAAAGTTGAGACCCTGAACAACGACTGAGAGGTCTGTCCACTCCCTTCCCCACCTCTTGTCCTTGTGTTCCCTACGCTTTGTGAAACACTACCTTACTCTGATAGAGAGATTGCTGTTGAATAACCAGAGGTATTTCTTTTTCTCCCCTGGGTGTTGGGCACTGCCGTGAAGTGTGCTGCCACCAAGCTATTGGCCAGGCTTATTCTTCTTTTTGATACAAGTGGTTGTGTGTTGTATTGAATCTTATTGGAGAGAACTTCTTGGTAGTCTCACCCAGACCTTCAACATTGTGAGGTAGCAGCAGCAATTTTGCAAAATGTAGCGCAAGAGCTGCCAGCCTAGAAGCAGGTGAAACACGAGCTGTAGTTGGGGAGGAACTTCCATTCCAAACCTGTTCTCAGGTGCTTATGTAACTTCCCCCAAAATTACTCTCTTAGCTGAAATTCCCCATGCTTCTTGAGAGCCCAGAGTTGAGAGGGACTGGAAACCTGGTACAGTTCCATTTGACCATTTTGGGAATTATCCAGGGATGGAGAAAGGAAAGGCATGCATTCAGAAATGCCTTCAGGAAATTTTCCAGAAATCTTTTGCAGTTGGATAACTCAAAGTGGTTTCACTTTAACTCTTCTCGCTTGCCACATACATATTCCCAATGAGGAGCACGTGCTTTGCTAAGTGGAGAAACAAGTTACAAAACTAATAATACTGCACTGCAGGTGTGCTGAGTATGATTTCCCTAGACAATTATAAGTGCCACAGCATGGCAAAGTAGATATGAGTAAGTATGCACAAGCAAATATCTGGATATTTTTGCACTGAAACAACGGCTTCATCCACTTAATACCTTCTGCTTGCTAAATGAGATGTGAGTTGGTGTGGTTTGGTGGTGCTAAAGGAAAGATGAAAACCAGTGGCTTTCAGCCAACCTTATAGAACAGTCTGTAGTATTAGTGCTAGGTGAGCATACTTGACTAATTGTGCCCAGTTACTAACCTAACTTCTGAATTGTTCAGTCTGCTGTGATTTTAAACATATATATTTATTTGTGGGGTGAATGTGCCTTCTCGAAGACACTTGACTGTGCTAGAACCTGCCTTGTTTAAGGTTGCTTGGGGACATGGGAGGTTAATCCCAACTGGAAATACAACTTTTCTGGTGATGGGAACTTCCTACAGTGCTGCAATGAGCAAGTACAAAACTGAATCTAATTTTTCCAGACATTAAACACAAATAGAGTATGGTGAGCTCTCACTGGTAGGATGTAGCTAGCATACATTTCCCTCTCACAGGCTGTATGTTTCTGTCCTTTTATTGCAAACTGAACACATGTAGCACCCTTGATGAGCCTGCAGACTTAGCTTAGGTCAAAGAAAGGAAGCCATTTGAGCTCAGGTTTTGAGCATAAGATGTACGCTGTCCTCTGCACGGAGATGAGTGGCCAAGTCTGTTTGCACACTTTGCAGGTCTTCATTCATAATGGATCCAGAGAATTGAAATAATCCTCCTAAATCATCAAAATGGTCTTGCTGTGAGTACCCTCTAGTGGCGATTTCAGTGGAATGATGACTTTGGAAGAGAACTTTCAGCAAATTATGCTTTTTATTAATTGCGCAATCCTTCTTTATAAAGCTATTCTCAAAAACTAAATATTATGTTAGTGATTTAATGGTCTAGAATGTGTTGAACGTGTCTTTCAGAGCACTGGGAAACACTCTTTCCAATATGTATTTTACAGATTATTGTACTTCGTGTATGAACTGCTGACCTGGTCATTGGCCAGCTCACTGATATTTTTTTTCCCACCAGTGTCTTTTCTGTTTGCCCAGAGGATCACAGAGTCAGATTAATATCATCCCTCCAAAAGATTCTACATAACTAGGGATGAGTGAACCTTGCAGGTTTCGACTTTGCAAATTGAACCTTGCAAAGAGTCTCTCTACATTGCAAAGCAAGCAGGCTGGCACTGCAGTGGGAAGTCATTTGAAAGCTGGAGACTGATCGCTGGAAGGGCAGAGTGATTGAGAGGACAGTAGAATAGGAGGAAAATGAGTAGATTGTCACTAGAAGTGGCATATGAAGAGAAGATGGTTTCAATAGAGCTGGTCAAAATTTTCCAAATTTTGATTTTTCAAGCAAAAAAAGATGATTTTTTTCACTGTGAAAATGTTTGTGAATAATTTTCCAGTTTGTTGACTGGCTCTAGTCATCAAAATGTGAAGTAGACCTTACTTGAATTCAACCATTGATAACTCCATTGCAGCTGCAGTAATACTTGAATAGAAAATACATGTCTTTCTGAGGGAGACAGAAATTGGTAGGAACAGCTGTATATTCTGCTGTTTCATGAATGCAAATTTCTAAGTGGGAACTGGAGGTGTGGTTTCTAGTAAAAGCTGTCTGATTCTTATTTGCACTTCATGACTTTGGTAATTCCAAAACTTCTGTCAGTTTTTGCTATATATTGAATTGCAGCTCTTCATTTGAAAAGATTTAAAGTAAAATAAATATCTGGATTTTCTTTTAAGACTCTTTTTTTTTTAATCTCTTTAATAAACCAGGAGATTTCCTCTTGAAGATATCCCTGTAGATGAAAAGGAAGCTGCAAACTGGCTTCATAAACTGTACCAGGAGAAGGTAAATGGTTTTTTTCTCTTTCAGATCTGTCATAAAGTAACGTTCTAAGGAGCAGCATGTCAAGAGCTGAGCAATGCACACTCAACTCCTGGAGGGAGAGAGGAAATGGGAGCACTATGTGTAACTTGGCAGCTATTCCTTAGATTGATTTAAGAAGCGGTGTTGGCAGGCTTTGAAGGGAGCCCCAGCCATTCCTCCTTGACCACAGAATGGTGGCTGTGGTTTGAAGGGAAACGCTGTGGGTTACTGCACAGACATAGAAGACACCCCCCACACACACCGCCACCCTTGGGGGAGACCATATGTAACCTGCTCTCTTTTGCTATGTCCTTCAGGTTTGGGGTATTTTTCATATATTTTTAAATGCTTTTGTTCCACCTATGGATGTTTCTAGGAGCTATAGACACATGATAATTCTAAACCAGACGTGGTCATTCATTTTGGACATGCATAGCAGAGTGAGTCTCTGGACTGCAACTTTTGCAGAGCTAGTCTTTGTCCTCTCCTGCCTATTCCTCTGTCCACTTGCCTGCCGGATCTCTGCTGCCATTTCTGACGTGATGCAGGCAGGTCCATTCGTTTGCTGTCAGAGCACATAGGTAGTGCACTCTCCAGGTGCTCAAAAGTTTTCTTTCAACTCTTTTTCCTAGATGATAAAGTTCTTTACCACAGATTTAATAGAGCTGGAGAGACGGGGAGAGAACTGTACATAAAGTTTGCCCCGTCCTTGTATAGATTGGACTTGTGTACATCTGTTTTGAAATGCATATCTTGATGATTATTTTTTGTGTGCTGTTTCTGGCACGGAAGGTAGAAGAGCACAGAAACCCTGACACTTATGAGCATTTTTCTGCCTTGGTGACCTGTACTGCAATATTTCCAAACCTTCACTTAACTTGTAGGCGGGCAACAAATTGTTCATAAGGTTCTTCTCCCAAGTTTCACTTTTGTTCATTGTAACCGTATTTATTGTAGATCTTAAAAATACTCAAAACAACTGGGGCAAGGAGACTGAGAATTGTTTACAAAGAATATTACTTGTTGTCTGCCCCTCTTGCATTCTGGATGTCGATGTGTCAAACAGATTTAAGAGTCATTTGAAAATTATGAAAATGCTCCATGAAATTTCCCACTTTGGTAGATAAGTGTTGATGCACATTTTTATTTTTTGCTTTTCCATTTGTGTCGCCCTCTTTGCTGTAGAGTAAGTATAGAGTTAAGCAGGGAAAGCAGATAGCACACCATTTCACTTCACTTGGACAGAATGCTCTGCATTAGCTACAATCGAAGGTTTGATATCTCTTGTTGTTCGCTGTACCTCCATTCAACACTGGAGTCAAATTTTGTTAAAGAGGATTTTTTATACATAAATTGATCTCTGTGGGTTTAGAAAAGCCACTGTAAGTGTGGAATTCCTAAAGTGCTGTCTTTGTACTAAAGGATTTATTATTAAGAGGAAATGCCTTGAGCTCATCTTTTTTTGGTAAAGTCAGTGGAGGCTAAAATAGCAATAGGTTAAATAAATGATTTTTCATTCTGTATGCAGCTTATAAATCATTGTCTTAAACTGAGAAAAATAATATGGACACAGTAACGATTTGTCTGATTTTTCTCAGTACCACACTTTTCTAAAGACTTAGTTCAGAGTGTATTACCTTCTGAAGTTCTATGGTTATGGCTACTGGATTGAGCCTTCCTGTGAAGAATCAAGTCCCAGTAGCTTCAAGTTTAAGGAAATGCTGTCCCTGGTGGTCAGCTTGTGCTTTGTCTCACTCTGTTAGGTCCACAAGGAACCCTTTTCTGCTGCACCTCCTATAGATGGTTCCTGACTCTCTAGTAATAAAAACAGGAAGAAGGCACAATAGAGAAGCAACTAGCACAGGACTGGAAAGTGTCTGAGTAGTTCTCTGTGCTAAAGCTCCTCTGAAGTCTGAACACACTGACAGCTGGTGTACGGTGGTGGAAGGAGACTGACAATATTTGATTTCTATTTGTTTATTTTTAAATAGTGTTCAAAATGTTTGTTTATAGTATTAACTGATGGTTATTGCAGCATAACGGAATGCCAGACTGGCCACAGAAAATACAAATTCTTCTCACAGACTCTAATAATGCTTGCCACGGATGTGGGTCTTTATGGCATCATGGAATTCTACAGTCTTAGAACTATTCATGCAAAAACTAACATTTCTAAATTAGGAACATTCTTCCCCCCCCTCCCACCCCCACCCCTCTCTCTTCCAGGATGCTTTACAAGAGATGTATAATAAGGAAGGCATATTTCCCGGCCATCAGTTTAAACCTCCTAGAAGACCATGGACTCTGCTAAACTTCCTCTTCTGGGCTACTGTTCTGCTCTCTCCTCTCTTCACATTTGGTTTTGGAATTTTTGCAAGTGGATCACCGCTTCTTATCCTTGCATTCCTGGGGTTTGTTGGAGCAGGTAATGAGTTATTGAGAAGAGGGAGATGATGCCAAAGCACAATATGATACAATAGTGGCCATTAGCTGTGATAAATTCTGTGTATGATTACTATTACTGATACTTGCAGAAAGTTGTTATTTTGAATGAAAATGCAGGACAAGTTACATAGGTTTCCATTTTTGCATAGAAAAACAATTATTTCAAAAGCCTTAATTTCAAACAGGTTAGTCTCTTATTTCTTAAGTTACATTTAATATGCTAATTAATATTCACACAGTAGCCCCTTCATGAGGGGTGAATCATATTGGCTGGGCAGTGTGAAGAAGTTTGCACTGATGGTCCCCATACTGACTATGTTCTGTGGTTACGGAAGACTTCAGCTTCCAGAGCTATCAGTTCAGCTTCTTTTAACACATGTGCACTAGTTACACTTTTGTTGAGTCTTTAAATCTGGACTGCCCTATGGTTTAATGATTTAGCACATGTACTTGATCCAAAGCATCAGTCAATGGAAGCTGCGTACACAGATTGGAGGCAGTGTATGTCCCAGAGTCACTACTGATTGCTCAGTCTGTGACCTCTGTATCTAATCCCCCATGGCCCATCTCGCATCAAAGTGTGTATGTGTGTGTCAGAGAGAGAGAGACACACAGATTTTTATCATTATATCAGTTGTAATGCACCTCCAATTTCTGTATTATATTTTAAAGCTTCCTTTGGAGTTCGTAGACTGATAGGAGTGACCGAAATAGAAAAAGGCTCCAGCTATGGCAACCAAGAATTCAAGAAAAAGGAGTAACTCACAGCTGCAGCACAGCACATATAACCAGACTATGGTATCAAATTAACTTCATTAAAAAACACTTAGAAACTATCTTTTTCTTATTAACTGATGACTAATATTAATGAATAATACTTGAGCCAAGAATGAAGAAATTGGAAGAATCAAGAGAAGAGAAAACATCAGCTTTCTGTCTGTTTAAGGACCATTTTATTCAAACTTGGGGTGAAAATCTGGGCTAAAAATGGTAACTTTTTGCTTTGTTTGCGGAGTGGCCGAGAAATATTGGACACAGCTACCTACTTCTTCAGATGACCAGTCACACTGGTTTACCCTTCAAGAATCTGAAACTCACTTTACAGTAGGAGCCATTGAATGTTTCCTCTTGCTAAAGCCAATTTAATATTTGTTTTTCCCAGCCTCAGTGCTGAGTGTGCACCAGGAAACACAACCCATTTTAAATTCACTGACAGCAGTTCCTTGGGTGAAAGCCATTTGGAAAGGCCATTTTATCATGACTACAGACAAAATCCCATTTGTATACATTTTATTGAAGGCACTTTTTATTTTCAGGCAACATCATATAACTTCTGTACCACAAGAAAATGGATAATAGAATTTTGATGGAAATGGTACCTTATCGATAAGCACATACTGTACATCAGATTCACTAGTATTAATAAAGTTTAAAGGCTTTCCCCCCCCTACCTGTTGGTTAAAACTCAACACCCCACTTTGGTGATTTGAGCACTGCCTGTTATACTTTACATGCCTTGGATCTGTTTTGCTTTGCTTTGCTTTTTTTAAGTGAATAGTAAGCCCTGAGATTTGGTCCAGTGTAAAGAAGGCTATTTACTCAGTTGTACTGGCGTTTCTTCCTTATTTCTGTTCATGTTTCTCATCGCCGAAGTCCCACTCCACTGGTTGTCCCTCGCAGCAGTCTACTGAGAAAATCAGCATAAACCAGCACAGCC